TGTGATTTTTACCATTTTAATGACACACAATGTTACATTAATTGCCTGGTCCCATGAAGCGGGCTTCTAACATATTTATCTGACAATGAATCCCTATATATTAACCTCGACATAAATGAAATATCTCAAGCTAATACAAACATGAAGGTTGATATAAAATTGGGGTACTTTCATGACCAGGATATTAATTCTCAAGATGAAGGCTACTTTATGGTGCACGGCTTGAAATACCCAAGGTGAAATTTTAATTCTCAACAAACAGTATGATATGGTCCTAAAGAAATTCTATTATCATAAGATTATTTAAAGATTGTATTACTGCTACCTGTAGCAACTTTAATACGCTGAAAATCGTCATAATCAAAAACATCGCCATTTGCTATAACTGGAATGGATAGTGATGCTACAACATCAGCAATCTCACTCCACTTAGCCGGATCTCGCGGCCTATCTGGAACTTTTCTGCATTTTATTGAGAAGAAACGCATCAGACCAAACATCATGCAATTGAGACAAATAGATTGATATTATTTCACTATTACAAAGACAATGGGACCATCCCACTTTAAAGAAATATAATGGGATGAAAATATTTATCCTTATTTGAAGTGACTCAATATGTAGCATGAAAAACCTATCAAGATGCATTTGACTCATAGGGATTCCATTTTAAACTTATCTATACCCTACTGCCTTGCAATGTTAAACTTATCTGTCAGTTGTGTTCCATTCTTTATAGGGGTGTTAGCAGAACCTGAACTAACACATAACCAGGGGTAAGGATAGCTAGTTTTGAACTAGGGTTCTATTAGGGTTGCTTATGGTTTGTTATCTTATGGTTTGATAGAAAATGGGGATAGAATGTCGTACATCCAGTTGAGTGAGGGAACCCATTACATCCATTTACATAGATTCCATCTTCAACTACAGTTGAGTGAGGGGCTAAATTAAAATGATAACATAGCATGCTAAGCCCAACTTTACCAATAGGATATATTAGAGATCACCTTCCATGGACAGCGAGAGCAGAAACTCCAGTTTTTTCAATTCGCCTGGCCAATTCCACAGTATCCTGAGACGATTTTAGTAGTCGAATCTTACAAGTCACTGGTATACTCATGTTCCTCCTTAATGTAGTCAAAATCTGAACAGAACGGAAAAGAGTGAGTTAGGAATCAACTGCAAACACTCTTCGGATGGAAAGAAAAAGCATCTTCGGGGAAACAAGATTGTATACATCATGAATAAGATCTGGTTTAGTCAATAATGCAGCACCCATTCCTCCACTCACAGAAAAAGACTTTGGACAACCCATGTTTATATCCACTGCTGCAACATCTTTACACCTAAAAGGAAAAAGGTCAACAAGTATATAAGATACTGTTGAGACGAGCCCATATGTTACATTGAGATGGACACAGACCCATATCACATACTTGGGTGTTTTGTCCAAATTGAGTAAGAAGATCAGATTGGGGCATGAGATGAAACAGATACACAACAGGTTCCACCAGGAAGAGTAGATACCGGACCACTATTCTATGCATGAACCCAAACAAAGATAAAGCCACATTTTCAAAACAAGTTGTCTGCCTAAACCTGATTCTTTCAAAGAAAAGAGATTTAAGGGTTGATTCAATTACAGCCAATCTTTAAAGGGTTACAGTTAAAAACAACCTTATCTATGATCCAACATAGCACAATATATGTGGAAGAGATAAATAAATAAAATATGAAAATCTAAAGGAAAAAACTTAGGAACATGTAGTAAACATACCTAAACTTAGCAAAACTTATTCAAATCCCTAAATGCTTTAACCTATTAATTTATAGGCTTGTATGCAATTGTTCATGTATTCACCCATGTACTTCTGAGTTTTGCGCTGCCTACAGAAGCAATAAGTGGTTCAATATGAACCCCAAGCTCAAATAGTGAATACAAGACCACAGGAGCATATTGTCTTCCCACACACGTCCCATGATCCTGATGACTTCAATAAAAACCATATTGATTGCCTTGAGCTCTCACAATCAATAGAAGCAAGAGTATCAACTTAAAGTTGCAATCCGCTAACTATATCAATTAATTTCTTGTTACTTTTTAAGATAAAATCGACCAATCTCAAGAAATTACGAACTTCACAACAAAAGGAGAACAATGGAATGCAACAACAATCAACTTACACCATCTGAGCAGCCGTGAGAGCCCTTACAGCATCAGAAGTACCCATTTGAAACACTACTCGATCTTTTTCCTCATCACAAGTCCTGAAAACGACACTTCCTGTCCCCTTCTCCACAAAATCAATGGACCCTATTTTCTCTGAGCAACGAGCACAAAAAAATTTCATAAAGCTTGCCAAAAATGAAGTACCCCACAAGCAATATACACCAAATTATCTGCTTCCGTAACTCTCCAGGACAAATATTAACAAAATTAACAGAAATTTATAACCAAAACGATGAATCAGTAACTTGTCGCAAAAACAAATCAAAAAAATAAAATGTACCATTTAATCTGCGGTCGCATTTGACAAGTTTATGATCGATAATTTCCTCACCGTAGGTTATATCCGCACCATATTCAGCAGCCAGTAATCTAAATGGCAGCGTCCCCTAACCAGTTTAAGAAATTTACAAGTAAATAGCATGAATTAAACAGTACCTAGAAGTTAATTTTGTATTAAAACCCAAGAAAAAAAATAGAAAAGAAAGAAAAGACGGCAGCTAGAAGGGTTTGTGGGAGAAGTACAAGTAGGTACTCACAATGCGAACCATGGGAGCAAGGACGAGTTTGTTCTCGTACTCCATCTTCGTCGGCCTGGTCAGTTTGGATGTTCTGGCCTTGACCTGCTCCTACTTTGAGGGGAATCCACAAGACACCCGACCAAATTTGATTAGTGCACCGTTTACGCACCACAACACCAATGTCTCAATTTTAAAAATATTTTTATTTTTAAAAGAAGGGTTCACAGGTGATTTGCCCCTTGAACTTGTACTCAACTTTCAATTGACCACATATCCTTTTTTTTAAAGAAAATTAAGGACTGGAACTATTTTTTTCACCAATGTACCCCCGACGTCAAAATCTGCCACTTCCCATCCATTCTCCATCAAGTTGGAGGTTATTTTTGTCATTTCGCGTCTCCACTCAAGTTAACCTAGTTTAAGTTGAAGGAGGCTAGTAGTCCAAGATGTTTGGATTTTCACAGTTTTCCCACAGTAGCAAACAACTGAGGGCACCATTCATGAACTACCCTCTTCAACTTGTGAATTCCACCTCTGTGACCCATGACCTCCATGACCTCTGCCAGGTAAAGACCTCATCTCGTAATATTGGGTTTTTTCCAAAACCCTAGATATCCTTTTATTAGGGTACGAAAATGGAGGTTAGAAAAATGGAGGGAAAATGATTTGGGAAAAAAAGAGCCAAAAAGAAGGAAGAGATAGCTGAAGCCTAGGTTGAGTTGAGTGGAGATATGAAATGACAAAAGTAACTTCCAACTTGACAATAGAATGGATGGGAAGTGGCAGATTTTGACGTTGGGGGGCACATTAGCGAAAAAAAATTAGTTTGGGTCCTTAATTTTCTATAAAAAAGGATAGAGAGTCAATTGAAACTAGGTACAAGTTTAGGGGGCAAATCACCAATTAACCCTTAAAAGAATATTTAGAAGGGCTTAAACAAATACACCTGAAAATATTTCGAACTTATGTCTTTTTTTCCAACAAAAAAAAAACTTATGTCATTTCTGTAATACTAGCCTCTCACAACAGGCTTCCGCGTTGTTTTTAAAAGAAAAATGAGCTATTAATGATAAGAATCCTTACTAATGAGGATTTTGATACCTAGAATATTTCTGTTTAGGTTTTGATACATAAGAATCAAATTTTTTTTTTAAATTTGCCCGAAAGCAGGCCCAATTTAAATTAATCATTGAAAAGACAATTGTACCCAGTTTAAATTAATCATTGAAAAGACAATTGTACCCTTTTTCTATTTTTAATTACGTGCTTTATGCGCGACTTATAATTTTTTTTCCTTTCTATTTTTGCAATTGTATTTTGCTAGATGCCTATCTCAATAGTTTCTTATTTTAATGGTGAATATTTTTCTAGACGCACGTTTTTTTTTTTTTTGGTTACATTGGAGGAAAGAAACCCCACTGGGGTTCGATCCTGGGTGCCATGGGGGGAAGGGGGAATCCACCACCACTGTGGTGGGACGCACGTTTTAAAACCAGAACCATAACAAGAGAACAACGCCTAACATAGAAAAATCGAACACAAACAAGACTTCAAGATCTGATCATAGAAGCAACAAACGAAACATAAAAGAAACTCCAATCTGATCAGAAAAAAAAAAATTCAGAAACCAAATCAATGAATCGCTCAAATAGGAAAACAAATTGAACAAAAATCAAAACCTACAGTTAATGCCTTAAATCACATCAAAACACATGAAGGATAGCAATCACGAAATGCATGAAGGATCTAGCTCGCCATAACGAAAATCAAAGAACGAAGAAAAAGACCAGGGCGAAATAGTAGAGAGCGCTTGAACAGAAACAAATACGAGGGCGCAACATTGGAAAAAGGAAAATGCGAGCTAAATAAATAAGAGGGTAAAAACGTAATTTAAAATACTAATTAAATAGACCCTAAAGCCCTTGACAAGGCCCATTGACTTCAAGCTAAGAAAAATTTAAAAACAGTTGATTAAGTCCAAAACACAGCTAGCCCATTTACCATGTCCTAATTATTTTCCATTCTATTGATTGTTACCAAATTATGTTTGTTTAATAATTTAATGTTAATGTCAGCCCTCAGCAGACAGCACAAGACTAACGCAATTGAATTTAATGCAAACAATCTTATATGCTCAAGAAGCTTCCTTGGAACAAATCATAGGCAATCAGATAAAAGCTATACCTATATGAATAATCAACCCAATCCTAGTACTGAAAAGAAGAAAAGGAAATAATATTCTAGGTTGGACATTTTTAGAACAGAGATCATTATCAAACAGTTTGCTACATTCCTTCAGCACTTTACAGCTGCCTACTCTACAGTACCGAGGGTTTTTTCTTTTGGTAAACATATGATATCAATTCCTTCACTGTCAAAATTTGGTCAAAACTAACAACTTACAGAATCCATGGAACCATAAAACTCACAAACTCAGGCAAATGCCACCTCAAAAAATGTTTCCCCTCGTTTTGCTTTCCTTGTTATGAAACCACTCGCCTCCCAGAATAGGCTTAAAAACCACCTAATCCGTCAACCATGGCCCTTGAAACTGTCCCAAGTTTACTGCTGCTGCTCATATATCTGCATATAAGTCTCAGAAAGGGCAACCATCTGGGGAAGAGTTTCTGAAACATGAAGATCCTGCATCTCATACCTGAAAACATTTCCAGATGTTAGCCCATACATACAGTTGCATTTCTCTTAGTTTACATTTATGCCAATAAGTATGGAATAGACTTACCATAATTCTTCTGACTTTCTTTGTACAAATGCCCTGTATGAACCTTCACCAGGTTTGCCATCATGAACAATGTTGGCAATCAAATCATACTTTGAATGCAATCTCTCATTCTCTTTTGGGGTTGGCAAGGGGATGTAGTCTTTCAATTCAAGGTTCTTCACAGGAAAGTTGACTGCAATAGGAATTACATCAGTTGGCAAAAGGTTGCACTTGATCAGGCAAGGATCCATGGCCTTAAATGATTATTCAAATGAAAATAACTCCAGAAACATATAATCTCATCTAAAGTCGGATTCTTTTCCACAAAGAAGTTGTTCTTGGTAAATCGCCGCATGTGGAGAATAAGATACTGTGGTAATCGGGTGACTCGATACCTCATCCTTGCTATGTGAGGTCGGACCACCTCAATCAGTCTCCCCATCAAATTTCTTCAAGATGTTGAACAGTGGGACCTAAACCATAACACACAAACTTTAAAAAATAATATAAAAACATTTTTAAAACAAAACTCAAAAAGAATTCTCATCATCAATTCTCTCTTCCCCACATACCATTTCTGGAATAAGGTGTAGTGATAGCATAGGTGTGCTATGAACATTTAAAAAGCACACAATGCAAGACTGATGAGACATGCATAAAGTAAAGGGCATGCTTTGGCATCATTCAGGGCTCAGTTTAATATTCAAGAAAAATGGAGAACCAAAATGCTTGGCACAAAGAACAGTTGCTGTATTTCTAATTTGCAATTAGAACTTGAGTAACTATATACATTATAGAACAGGAGCACAAAGACAGACTGAACCCCCATATTTAGATAATAAAAAATCAACTAGCCTCCATACAGACCAATAAAAATAAGGAATACATCCATCTTAACAGTCTACACATTTGTCACTACCTAAGATATATAAATTACATAGACTCCCCAAAGCAATCTAGTTACCTGGTCCACAAGTTGCGAACATAGAGGCAGTGTATGTAATTGAAGCAAATTCCAACATGTTTTTATTCAGAAACATAGACATGGAAATTATGAGAAAGACATTAAAACCAATAAAAAAAGGCAATTAAAGAATGAACTTCCAACACACTACTAAGACATAGGTACCTGGGGTATGATGTTTTTCTCCATAACATCTTTGAAAAGAGGTGGTGGGGGCAAATCCAATCCAAGCATTAAGAAAGGCATTTTGTAAGTTTCCTTGACAATGCCATTATTTTCAGTCACAATATCTGTATTCTGGTCATCACCATTTTCTTTCTTCTCAATACTTTTCTTAGGAATCTCCTTCACAACCTCCAGTTCCCCCTATCAGCACAGAACATTATATTTAGTCTAAAAAATACAGCAAGTTCAGTTGCAGCAACAGCAATACATTATACAACGAACAAAGTAGATAAAGAATAAGAAAGAAAACCTGAAAGCACTCATAGATGATGCTGCTATCTTTCTTTGAAGTTCTAAGATCTGCATGCAGTGTATTAAGCAGCCATGACATGAATTCAACTGGGTCAGATTGCGCTCCTATTCGAAACCGTTTCTTACTGGCTTTCATAACTGCCTGCAGGAACTCATGCGGACTCACCTGTAGACATTAAAGATTTGACACATGTGAACTTTCAATCTTAACAACAATAACTAGAGACAAAAATATGGAGTCAACAAGGTCAAACCTGTCCTTCGAAGTTCCGTGCATGCCATATCTTTCTCGTGAGCTCCCCAAATCGATGAACAAGCGGAGACTTGCAATGTTGATAATTCTTAGGGATGAGGAAAAAGTTTCTTAGTGGAGTGACTCTCATTAAAGATTGAATTGTGACATTGACAAAATCAGTCTCCTTAATGTTATTGAGCCCCACCTGTTTTTTGAAAATTAAGAAGACACAGGTAACAACAATTAGGACCCAAAATTAACACCTCGCTAGAGATTGTTAAGACGTAAGTTGTTATGGAATGGAAGTGTATCCATCAGGGAAATCAATCAAAAAATACATCACCCGTGCACACATGAAAAGACAGTACTTAATGTGGTTCAACATAGGCTTCTCTAACCTTACATATGAGAGAGAATCTAACGGAACAGAGAGAATTACAAAGATGTGAGAGTACTGCAGTAAACCAAAAACCATATTAGCTAAGTGCTGAAATCACGCTTACTGGTTCTTTCTATACTCCATACAAGTCTATCAAAACTGTGAAACAACTCTATTGTAAGTCTAATTGTTGGCTAGCCACATAATAGATTCATAATAGCTCATTACTTATTTGGCAAGGAATAAAAATTCTTCTATCACTAGTAACTTAAATGGGAACTCTAAAGTATTGAACAAGCCAATTAGGAACTTGAAACATAATATTGCACTCATATGAATTGACAACAGCAGCAATAGAAGCATATATGGAATCTTGTGCAAGTAAGAACAAAAATCAGTACCATTCCAGGAAGGTAATCAGAACCATCAAGCGCCCTAGACCATTGCTTGTTTTTGTCAATCTGCTCAACTTGTTCCTCAGTAAACCTATATATAAAGAACCAAATGAATTCAAATCCTTTGTTTGCACATGCATACTTAAAAGGATACCCAAGGAAGACTAGAAATATAAAAAAATACAAATCAAACCTCGGGTTCAGGACATGTCTAATGTCATCCAATGACGGGTCACTGATTTCATATCCATCGGGAAGGCAATAAACTTTCTCCGTTCGAAGATTGATATAAACATGGTGTCCAGCTTCAAGGCTATGAGTATATGCATGGGACTTCTTCCCTCTTCCTTGGTAATACTTCCCACAAACTAAACATGCATACACACTCAAATTTGACAGAGACAGAGAACAAAATTTTTCAAAATCAAAATCCAAAACCTGGAAAAAGCAAAATCAAGCAATAGGTATCAATACAGTAGATGCTTTTGTAAGGATAATATACAGACAAGCTGGAATGCCATATTGTAACAACTTAGAATAGTAATATACCTGGCGATTAACAGCATCAAGATATGGGCAATCCCTCCTGACCTCAATTTCACGGCTCAGCCTGTAAAGTCCTTGTTCAAGATCATCATTATCATCTTCTTCTTCACCATGATTTTATAGAGTTCTATATGGGTCCAGAGAGAGAGGGGGAGAGAGACCAAGAAAAACAAGATACCCCCAGTCCTTCAGCTTCCTCCTTTTGAGTGCTAGAAATATTTGCAAAGCTGACAATTGCTGAACAAAGCAAATGCATAACTGAGATACCATCCTTTGAAGTTTCACCTTAAAACTTCAAGTCTCTAAGGAAATAGCATAAGACCTACTTTTTAAATGCGTAGAGCAATTTGGAAGGCATGACAGAATCTGCACAAAGCATTTCGATATGAGCAGGACATTATGAAAAAAATACCATATATTTATTAAACTAATGAGGGTCAAAATACACAAAGTCAAGTTCGTCTTTATATTTATATTGAGGTTTGGTGCCATGGAATTGGATTAGGAAGATTTTAGTACCACGGTATCAGAAATCAGTAGCCTTGAACATTTAAGTAATCATGATGATCCTATAAAGAAAACGTACTCATGATCATGAGGAAATAGATGAGGGACCTCATTAGAAAAAAGATGAGAGAGAGACAGGGGTAGAGAGACAGGGGTTGGGAAACAGAAAGAGGGAGAAGGAAACAAAAAGAGGGAAAGGTGAGTACGAGACATGTACCAAGGTTCTTCAACATTGAATCAAAGGCATTCAGAATTAAGGTAGACGATTTATCGTTTGGTGGATCAATTTTAATTACAGAGAAGGTCAGAGAACGTCTATTCCATGTTTCCATCGAACTGAGTTGTGTAGAGTGGTTGATCAAAGAGCTGCAGGGACTTCTGGTAAACAAAGTACATAGTTTCTTCAGAAGGTACAGGGGGGATTCATATCAAGTGTGGGTAGAGAAGCTTAATAACTGGAAAGGATACTACTTGAGATTGACTAAGTGTGTACATGGAATCGTAAAGTCTGTGGTGATCCCCCGGGGCCGACATGACAGTGGGTGGATTCAGGTAAAAGAGAATTTAGAAGGAATTTTAACAGGGAGAAACAGACCGAGTAGCCACCGATGCCCAGAAGAAGTCGTTAAAACAGATTTGAGAGTCAGTGGCACAGTATCAGACAAGACTTACAAGGAGGCGGTACAAACTGAGGAGGCTGCCCAAGAAAAGGAAAAACGGACTGGAACCTCGGACGATACGTCAAATTGGAGCTGGGTGGTGGTATGTGAAAGGCAAGTTCTGCATCAGTCATGGGATGATATCCGGAAGGCTTTGGAAGGCTGGCTGGAAAAAGATGTAAAATTATTCCCTTACCAAATAAACAGGGCTTTTTTCACCTGCGATAGCAAATTAGAGGCGAAGACCGTTACCAGCAGTGGAAAACTGGCGATGGAGGGACAGACGGATGTGTTGCTATACAGTTGGGAGCACGGGTTGAAAAACAATGCCCCCAAAATAGTCAGTTATGGGGGATGGCTTGGAATTACTGGGCTTCCCATGCACTGGTGGACCAAGAATTTCTTTCAACGCATTGGCATGGAATGTGGGGGATTCTTAGAAGTGGATCAGCGGACTGAAAATTACAAGTATCTTTTCGAAGCAAAAATAAAAACTAGAAGAAATCTCTCTGGTTTTTTACCAGAAATCGTGACTCTCACAGAAGGTACAGAAACTTATTATGTGAAGATCAGGCCAATCTCCCCGGCAATTCGGCCCACCATATCATGGCAGGCTCCGCCTACGGTTTCCGATAGTCGGGTTGTTCCTGCGGTGGCTGAAGGTGAAATCCCGACAGGTCAGAGTCACCAAAGGACCGACGATTTTCCCCAGGTGAATTGGGATCAAGGCATCATAAATGAGGGTGGTGGTCTCAAGACAGATTTTCGAAACTTGATGGGCGGAACTGTTCAGATTTTCAACGCTCGAGGTAAAGGGATTTCTACACCAGCGGCAGAAAACTCAATTCACCCTTGTCGCAGTTTAAACCTACATGATATGGGCAGAAAAGAAACTGAGGAAATTTTGGGCCCAACTAAAGATAAGCCCATTTCGAATTTCACAGCCCAATTTAACCCTTTTAGTGGTTCTTCCCCTGAGCCTAATCCTTTTCTGAAAACTAGATCTTTTAGTGAACCGGGCCCTATTTGTGGGATACAAAAGAATAAGATTTCTGATTCCAAGCCAAACAGCGAGGGTACGGCAGATAAGCTGAAATCAAAAACCAGATTCTTATCCAAATTCGGCAGAGCAAACGGAGAAGGAAACAGGGGCTTTCGAGTGGGATTATCTCACATATATGACCGACTCTCTAGTGCAGATGAACCGATGCAGATCAGTTCCCTTCCCTCAAAGCCCATCGCTGACAGAGAAGATGACGACTCGGTTTCATCGATCTGCCCGGAATCAGTGGATTCAGTGGTTAAAATACCATCGTCAGAATCTGAATTCATTGATGAAATATCTTCGAACGAGGAAAAGAAAAACACAGATGCTTTTGACAACGAAGAAGGAATTCTTCATGAGTTGTTTGACAATCCATATATAACTAACGGTGCAAATGGGTATGTGGGAGACAGCTTTCCTGTCAATACCCAGTCAGATGATCAAAGGGGAGAAGAAGATTATGAAGATGAAACTATTGTCCCAGAGACCATTCCAGAAGTACTGTACTACTCCAGAAAAAGAGGAAAGCGAAGAGGCAAAGGATGCAAAGACACCTTACCTAAATCATTGTTGCACAAAATGGATATATCTTTGATGCCCTTAAAGAAGAATTTGGCTCATAGAAGACATGGCAAACTTTGTGTTTCCAACGGTGATTCGGGTTCGAGGGGCACTGGAAAAGGTAAAGAGAAGACAAGGGACTTATTTCTCATTAATGAAGATAATTAGCTGGAATATTCGAGGTCTGGGGAGTAGAAGGAAAAGATTACTTGTAAAAGAGCATCTACGGAGGTTCAAACCAGATATAGTAATTCTGTTGGAAACTAAAAAGGAGATGGTGGACAGACAACTGGTGGCAAGTGTTTGGGGATCAAGATTCAAGGGATGGGTCTTCTCTCCTTCCATGGGAAGGTCTGGTGGTATAGCAGTTATGTGGAATTCCCAATCCGTTTCGGTAATTGATTCTCTGATTGGTGAATTCTCGATTTCCATTAAAATTGTTGAGAGTATTGGGACGGAATGGTGGCTATCTGGGATTTATGGTCCATGCAGACAAAGGGAACGAAACAGTTTCTGGAATGAATTGGCGGATCTGTACGGGTATTGCGGCGTCAACTGGTGTCTCGGAGGCGATTTTAACGTGGTCCGCTTCACAGCTGAAAAGTCGAATGGCGGAAGAGTGACTAAAAGCATGCGAGAATTTAATGACTTTATCCAAGATACAAATCTACGGGATCCAAACCTTCTCAACAGTTCTTTCACTTGGTCTAATCTAAGAGAGAATGCAATCTGCAGAAGACTTGACAGATTTCTGGTGTCGGGCAGCTGGGAAGATTATTTTCCTCATTACCGCCATAAAGCTTTGCCGCGAGTCACATCCGACCACTGCCCTATAGAGTTGGACACTTCTAAGGTAAAATGGGGTCCTTCGCCTTTTCGGTTCGAAAACATGTGGCTGAATCATCCGAACTTTAAGAGGAATATCACGTTTTTGTGGGGCGAGAACCAGATACTGGGATGGGAGGGATACAAATTCATGACGAGGTTAAAAATGATAAAATCGAAATTGAAAATTTGGAGCAAAGAGGAATTCGGGGAAGTAGAGTTACACATAAGGGAGGCCGAAGCTAGATTATTGGCTTTGGATCAACGAGAAGGTAGAGAAGGATTGGATCATCTTTTGAGGATTGAGAAAGAAAATCTTCTCAAAAAGATCGGAGATTTGTCCCAAAAGGAGGAAGTCAAATGGCGTCAAAGAGGAAAGGTAAAATGGGCAAGAGAAGGTGATGGAAATACCAAGTTCTTTAACAAAGTAGCAAATGGAGTCAGGAAAAGAAACTTCATAGACAAATTAGAAGTGGAGGAATTGGGTGTAATAGAAGACGAAGCAAGCATTGAAAGGGAAGTGCTTAAATTCTTTAAAAAATTATATAGCAGCAACAAAAATGTAGGCTGGGGTGTAGAAGGTCCAAATTGGTGCCCTATTAGTCAATTGGAAGCTGATTGGCTCGAACGTCCATTCGAAATGGAGGAAGTTCATAAAGCAATTTTTGATTGTGGCAAGGATAAATCCTGGCCCAGATGGTTATTCTATGAGTTTTTTCCAATCTTGCTGGGAGATTGTCAAGGGAGACCTTATGAAGGTTATGCAAGATTTTTTCCATAATGGGATTGTAAACGGGGCTACAAATGAAACCTTCATTTGTCTTATTCCTAAAAAGGTGAATTCTGTGAAGGTTACTGATTACAGACCGATTAGTCTTGTTTCGAGTCTATATAAAGTGATATCCAAGGTTTTGGCTTCAAGATTGAGGGAGGTTCTTGGAAATACTATCTCTCAATCTCAGGGAGCTTTTGTCCAAAAGAGACAGATTCTAGATGCAGTATTAGTCGCAAATGAAGTTGTAGAGGAAGTCAGGAAACATAAAAGAAAAGGGCTAGTGTTCAAAATAGACTTCGAGAAAGCCTATGATCATGTGGAATGAAATTTTTTAGATGATGTGCTAGAAAGAAAAGGTTTTGGAGCCAAATGGAGAAGTTGGATTAAAGGCTGCTTGGAATCTGTTAACTTTTCTGTCATTATTAATGGAAAACCAAGAGGAAAATTTAGGGCGTCGAGGGGACTAAGACAAGGGGACCCTTTATCACCATTCCTATTTACTTTGGTTAGCGATGTATTAAGTAGAATAATAGAAAGGGCTGAAGAAACTAACCTAGTACATGGTATTGTATCTGGGCATGACCAAGTGGAAGTGTCTCACCTCCAATTTGCGGATGATACCATTTTCCTTTTGGATGGCAAGGAAGAGTATTGGTTAAATCTGCTAGAGCTGTTGAAGTTGTTTTGTGATCACTATGCCAAAAAAGGGCTTTAGCAACGGATAAAATCCGTTGCCTATTACACATAAATACCGTGGTATTGGTGACTGTTGCCTATTCCTAT